CACAGTCAATCCACTAATTTCACAGTGACACAGCTGATTTCACAGTGACGCAGTAAATCCACTGATTGCACAGTGACACAGTTAATCCACTGATTGCACAGTAACACAGATAATCCAGTGATTGCACAGTAACACAGATAATCCACTGATTGCACAGTAACACAGATAATCCACTGATTTAAAAGTGACACAGTTAATCCTCTGGCTGGTGGTGCCAGTGACTGTGATGCCAGGTCAGGAGGTAATTTTTTTTTTATTTCACAGCTTGCAATGCCGGTAAAAGCCATCAAAGTGAAACATTCATTGCAACGTATTGACTGGTTTTACTGATGCTCACATTTGATATTCCGACTAGTTTGCATTCTGCTGGACATGTGTGAAAAAGAGCTTTAAAGCTCATCGGATTCCTCCAGTATAAATCAATATTTAGATTCTGACTCCTTTGCATTCCTGCAATGCCACCTGCAGCAAGTTGGAACCGAGAATTTACAAACTCATTAATATTCATTGTTTAAACTTTCATTCGGCCATGTTAGACTGTGCAGATAATAATAATAACGTCCTAATGGTTGTGGGTTGTTAACCCATGCGAGATAATAATGGTACTGTGCATGCGACTGCGATATCCGATGTATCACAACATTGTGATGTATCGCGTGATACGATGTGATACGTCGGACACGTCTCCGATTGTGTGCCGAGTTTTGTTGCTTGATTGTGCTTGTGCGCCACTGCCAATTCAGCAGCAGCAGCACCAGCAGCAGTAGCAACAGCAGTAGCATCATCACTAGCAGCACCAGCAATAGCAGCATCAGCAGCAGCACCAGCAATAGCATCATCACTAGCAGCACCAGCAATAGCAGCATCAGCAGCAGTAGCAGCAGCACCAACAGTAGCAGCACCAATATCAGCACCAGCAGTAGCAACAGTAACACGAGCAGTAGCAGCAGTATCAGCACCAGCAGTAGCAGCAGTAACAGCACCAGCAGTAGCGTCAGCAGTCGCAACAGCAACACGAGCAGTAGCAGCAGTATCAGCACCAGCAGTAGCAGCAGTAACAGCACCAGCAGTAGCGCCAGCAGTCGCAACAGCAACACGAGCAGTAGCAGCAGCAGCAACAGCAACACGAGCAGTAGCAGCAGTAGTCGCAGCAGCACCAGCAACAGCAACACGAGCAGTAGCAGCAGTATTAGCAGGCGCAGCAGCAGCGTTGCTGCCGAGTAATGAGTTTACGTTCTAGACCGGCGTGCCTGCTGCTGCTGCTGCCGCCGCCGCCGCTGCTGCTGCTGCTGGGTCTTCTCACGAAGGGAAGCAATGGTCGGAGGAGAAATTGAGACGCCATGGGGGGAAGCGAGCCGCTGGTAAAATAAGCAGCAGCGCATCGATCGGTCACATTGGCTTCCCGCTTTATGGGGCATCGTTAATAATGCAGGGAGGTGGGTGGGGGGGGATGGGATGAGATGGCTTGGAAAGGTTTCAAACCCGATAATGGAAATTGGGTCCGGTTTGCCCGTTTGCATCCTGGTTGTATAACGTGCGCCATGTATGACATTGTCGAAAAACGGTGAACGCGCGTATTAATAATGCGTCGCTGCGCGCCGTACATCGTAATGCGATTGTCGAGGTATGAAGCGGCTGAATGTGACCCCACCGGAGGACAGCTCGGCAAACAGCGAGGAGGAGGAGGTTGACTGGATCCAGTTGCTTGGACAGCACGTCCGTCCCTCTCGCTCCTCCGATGAGCACGGTTGGCTACGTACGGTGCCGGCAAGAAGTTCACCGTGCACACATACGGTTCAAGAACGAAGCTGTGCTGCTCGACCAACGCTGCTGGAATTAAGCACTCGCCCACAAGGCCCTGGATGGTTGATGGGATGTAAAAAAGTAAAAAAAACAATTGTGATTTTTTTTTTCACGTGGAGGGACAGGCATATCGTCTGCTTAATTTTCTCGGGACTCGTGTTTCTGCACTGAAGTGGCGCATGATCATTGTGGTGCTGTGCGTGTTGAGGTACCTCAGAAGGGAGTCGGGATTTTGTCGCTGATTGTTCTGCAAGTGGGGGGCCCGCGGGTCAGAGAGGGGAGTTGAGATGCGCGTGGGGCAACGGCACTGATTCAGACACTTCATGGGGGGGGGGGGCGTCTGTCATCAGTCAGGGGCAGAGGAGACGAGAAGATACTTCAACCTGGACCTGAAGAGCGGAAATTGTCTCCGCTGTGTGGATGGCTGTATGGTGGAGAGGCTGGGAGGGGGGGGGCTGAATTACAGATATAGGGGCAAGGAAGGATCTTGAAGAGGAGGAGAGACCTCCGATTGAGAGGAGGTTGACCTGGAGGCTTCAACAGCAGAGGAGGTTGACTGGAGGCTTCAACAGGAGAGGAGGTTGACTGGAGACTTCAACAGGAAAGGAGGTTGACTGGAGGCTTCAACAGGAGAGGAGGTTGACTGGAGGCATCAACGAGAGAGGAGGTTGACTGGAGGCATCAACAGGAGAGGAGGTTGACTGGAGGCTTCAACAGCAGAGGAGGTTGACTGGAGGCTTTAACAGGAGGAGGAGGTTGACTGGCGACTTTAACAGGAGGAGGAGGTTGACTGGAGACTTCAACAGGAGAGGAGGTTGACTGGAGTCATCAACAGGAGAGGAGGTTGACTGGAGGCATCAACAGGAGGCCATGGTTGCTCAAGAGGAGGGCACTGGGAGGGCAGTCGAGAGTGGGGGGTAGGGGGGGTTGGCCGATCCGAGCCGACCGCGGATCTTGATCGTGGGGAGGTAATCTGGGGATCCACTGGAAGCCGATGGGGCGGTCGAGTTCAGAGTTTCCGCCTGTCCGGGGGTTTGACCCCGACCGGCGACCTTTGTCCGTCGTTGAAACCATCCGGTTTCCTGTGATAAAGTTGAACACAACGCCGGTCGCAGACCTCGATCCTAATCAATTCCTGCCACCCCGACCACAGCTGCCAATTGCCAAAGTGTCCGGATTTGATCTGGGTTTGAGAAATATGCACGGGTTTGGTTTGCGGTGGAAAATGTGGAGACCCTAGATCGAGTGTGCTGGCAATTTGTTATCATTTACAGGTGAGGTGTCCGTTGCATCACTGGAATAACATTTGTATGCATCAACCTACGGGCATTCTGGGCCGGTGTTTTCCAAGAGCATTGTCTTTTGCTTTTTAAAGCCTCTTGATTAAAACAACCCCCCTGGGCATTTTAAACTGTCCCTGAACCTCATCACCAAACGCCCGATCTGTTAATCAGCAATCTGCCAAGACGGCACACATTTTTTAAACAATTTTATTTCAAAACTAGGTTATATACCCGGCGTTGCATGGGCCAAAAAACATTTAAAAACTACTCTTAAAAATCTAACAGCAGTGCGTACTGTCTGTGGTGGTGCCTGCTATGATTACAGCAGTGCATACCGACTGTGGTGGTACCTGCTATCACTACAGTGTAACATGCTGACTCTATAGCAGTATCTATCGACTCTATAGCACAAAGTACTCACCTGACAGAGTGGCGTGGTGAGGCCTAGTCCCGTGCAGAGCCTCCGGCCTCGCCTAGATTGTCCAGCCGGCCGAGGTGGCACCTTGGCAGGCTGGGGCTGGGCTGCTACCCCTGACCCCCTCCCCCCCCCCCAGCCACGATCTCCCCGGCCGCTCTGCAGTAATATCTACGGCCTATAGTGGTAGCATCTAGCGACTGTATAGTAGTTATAACTGCACGCATTGGGGTGGGGGGGACATCACACTGTGAAGAATTAACTTTAGCGTTTAGTGTATTTTTATAGCATTTCTAACGTGAAAGAAAATGTCCCCCTCACTCCCACCGAAGGCGCGCGACTTGGCATGGGCCGTCCCCCCCACCAAAGGCGCGCGAGTTGGTATGGTCGTGCACGCGTCATCAATAAATAAATAACGAATCGCACAAAAAACGCACTAAATCGCTAATTAAATTAATTTAAAGTTGACGGATGTGAAAAAGGAATAGCGCTTGCTCACAGCGGGGCTTACGGTGTGGTACCTTGCTATTTTTATTTTACGTAAACCCCACCGTTGGAGAGGGAAAGCGTTCACAAGCGTGCAAACACACACAAAGCCACAGACAATTTTTGACTTTTATATATATGTAGATAGCGCATCCAAGTGGCTTATATAATCATCATAATGTGTGGGAATTGATAGTAGCAGTCAAATCATCTTAAGCGCGTGTTGATTCTCAATGTGGAGGGCGAAACTGGTGTAACCCGGAGAAAAATCTACGCGACCACCACGGGAGAGAGAGAGAGAGATCACGCTAACTCCAAATATACAACGTGCGTCGTCAGGGTCTGGGATCGAACCCACGACCTCCTACATACCAGGCGAAGGAGACAACATCTCCCTTTCCACAGCAGCGCCCTTACAACCGCCTCGTGCCCTTGTGACAGTGACTTGCCCCAAGCGCGACTATTCACGGCAGGCTCTTGCCTACGGCACCAAGCATTCAAGTAGCATTTGTTACCAACGGGCGTGTCTTTGATGAGACTCGAGGGCATTTTCCGATGCGATAAAGAGAGGGTTGCATGCGATCGCTCATGGCTTGGTGTCACTTTAATCCCCATCGTGTGCGTGTCTGTGTCTGCGCTGGAGCGGCGGGCGTAGCAGTTCCCGGGCTGTGCTGCGAACCGGCAACCCGAGTTCCATTGCTGCCCGCAGCCTGCCACCAACAGCTGCGAAGATCATCTGAACCGCTTATGGGCCTCCCCTAGGTCGGCTTTGTCTCAAATGCGAAAGCTGGTTCAGTGCGCAGACCGCCATTAGGGAGACAAACGTGGCCGGGCGTGGTGGCTGGCCACACACCTCCTCGCGCGCCGTGCAGGCCTTCACTTGCCCCCCAAAAAGTCTGTTGAGGCTACACGGGGTGATCTTGGTGTTTGCACTGCGTGCGTGCGTGCGTGCCGCGATGTGTTTTCGTGTGGAACGTCGCCGCCGCGTTTTGTGTGCTGTGTGCGCGCCGCAGGCTGGCTCACGAACTCAGCCTGGATGAGTTTGAGGACGATGACCTTTCCGAGATCGCAAAGGACTGTGGGATGGGAACGCACTACCGTGGCAACTGCTATCACGCGGTACGCCCACTTGATGCACGGAGGGCGCTGACCCTGCTCCCTTCCTTCGGTCGCGTGCGCGCTTGCGGGTGAGCGTAAATTATAAATGAAATCTGTTGTCAGAGTCAAGAAATGCAGTTCACGCCTTCAGAGAATGATTGTTAAAACAACAACAACAACAACAATCTTTTCGCGAGTGTTTTAGGTTATTTCGAATTACCACCTGTTGAAATTAAGCATTACAGACACGGTATCGAGGAAATGCATGATATGCTCTCGGGTATACATTCCATTCGCAATTTTGAACCGATGTCTGTACGTCTTATGTCGGTGGAGGTTTCTTAGACAATACTGTGATCTTCCAATTATTCTTGTAAAACGCATCGTTTATTTTTTTTAAATATCCGCCTGGGCAGACGCATTTCAGGTTCGTTACCCATTTGGAATAATGACTTGATTTAATTTTTACGCTAAGAACCCTCCGCCGCCCTACAGACGAACAAATCGCCCCGCCGATCGGTACAAGTGTTCACTTTGTTGAGCTGTCATTTGTGATGGCCAGGTCGCTTCTGATAAAGAACTGCCGAGCTCAAGTGGGCCCCTACTTCGGTGGAATGAAACACAAGGAGTGTTAGAGTTTTAGTTTTAAGTAGTCTTTGTGTCCCGGGCGGTGGGTGGTGCGGTGGGTGGTGCACAGGTGGCGGACGTCGGCACGGCGGGCAGCTCCATCCACGCCGAGATGCTGCAGCTGGACATGATCGACGACGTCGCGTCGGCCACCGTCACGTCGGGGACGGCGCCGGCAGACGACGGCGGCGACGGCGGCGACGGCGACGGCCGAACGGCGTCGCCTCCGGCGCCCGCCGGAGGCTCCGGTAGAGACGCTCGACGGGACGCGGCGACGGCGCCGGCGGCCAAGGCGGCGACGGCGGCGGCGGCCAAGGCGGCCAGGGCGGGCGAGCTGCCCTGGGGCCCGGGCGGCGAGGGGGCACGGCCGCCCCCGGCGCGCACGCTCCGGCGGCCCACCTCGCTCGACCTTTTCCCGCGCCACGCCACCTCGCCGCCCCGCGTCACGCAGGTAGCGCCCGCGGGCGGCACGACGGCGCGGCCGCGTCGGCCACCGCCAACGAGCCGCAGCGGGTGAACACGCACCGCGCGCTTCCTCAGCGGCGTCGAAACGACGAAGTAAATGAGGGGTGACGTTTCTGCTCGTCGGCGCTTCCGAGCAAAATACGTCCGTGCGACGGAAGTAGGGCCATTGGCCGAAACGTCACTCATTTGTTTATTTTCGCTTTAAAGGTCACGGCAGTGCTGTTGACGAGCTTGTTGAGTTTCACGTGCGGGAATGTGGAACCCCCCCCCACACTGGGGGGACAGGAGAGGAGTGGCAGTGCCTCCACCTGACGCGAATCGTGTGCCTGAGGTTGCATTTCGTGGTTTCAAATGTCTTTTACTGCGGCGACGAGTAGTCGGCGCTCATTGTGACGTGTCACTGTGATTATTGTGATTGTTTTACATCTGGTTCTTAGGACTGCCTTAACAACAATCCCATTGTAAAGAAAGACAGCTGGCAGGAGCGGATCACAAGGGTGGGCACGCCTCCACGCACCGGTGAGCTCGCTCGTGGGGCGCCACAGTGGCAGGAGGTCGTGGGTTCGATCCCAACCCTGACGCCTGCTGCTGTATATTTAGAGTTTGCGTCTCTAGCTCTCTCTCTCTCATCATCATCACGGTGGCTATGAGATGTTAACTGCCTCGCCTGGTGTGCAGGAGGTCGTGGGTAAGATCCCGAACCTGACGCCTGCTGCTGTATATTTGGAGTTTGCGTCTCTCTCTCATCATCATCACGGTGGCTAGGAGATGTTAACTGCCTCGCCTGGTGTACAGGAGGTTGTGGGTTCGATCCCGACCCTGATGCCTGCTGCTGTATATTTGGAGTTTGCGCGTCTCTCTCTCTCTCCCTGTCGCTCCCCGTGGTCATGTTGATTTTTCTCGGGGCCCTCCGGTTTTTCCCTCAACATTTATAAACACACGCCTAGAGTATTTGGCTCCTAGAAAATATCGGGCTGCTAACTGGTACACCTTTTGAGGATCACATCACACCTGTATCCCTGTCCCTTCACCGACTCCCTGTCCGTACCCGTATTGATTTTAAGATTCTCTTGCTGGTATTCAAGGCTTTAAATGGACTTGCTCCTCCTTACATTCATGACTTCCTTCAGCCACGAATATTCCATCAAGATCATTAGGATCCTCGCATTGTGCATTGCTCACCGTCACCACGGTCGAAGCTTCACACTTGGAGGTGACGGTGCCTTTGCAATTGTGGCACCTGAACTCTAAAACTCGTTGCCCTTCAAGATCAGGACTTGCGAGACACTGCAAATCTTCAAATCCAGACTGAAAACGTATCTGTTTAAAATGGTTTTCTCTCTTTCGTTATTTTCAAACGTCTTTTTCACTTCTTCTTTCCCTGGCTGATGTTAAACTATTTTCCGCCTTCCCATGCATCGTGCGACTGAGAACGATTGTTTAAGGGCGCTTTATAAAACGCAATTATTATTATTACGTGATAAGCCACTTGGTTGAGCAGAAATGTAATATTAGCGTGGTGGCATTTAGCCAATAAAAAATCACCCACGATTGATCTTCGCACTTTTGCGCGATTTGCCTCTCGCGCATCTTGAGTGCGCGACTTGCTCTTAACCGTCGGATCGATGTGTTGCCAGATGCCTAGGGGGTGAACAGAGCCTGTAGGGATGCGCATCGGAGTGGCTCCCGGAGGTGGTTTTTCGTTTGCGTCATCTTACAGTTGCCCTCCCAGTGCTCCGGTGACCGAAGGAATTCCGAGAGGAATTATTCCAAGAGGAATTTTAAGACGAGTTTCAAGATGAATTATTCCAAGATGAATTACTCCAAGAGGAATTATTCCAATAGGAATTTTAAGAGGAATTCCAAGATAAAATATTCCAAGAGGAACTTCAAGAGGAATTCCAAGAGGAATTTTGAGAGGAATTCCATGAGGAATTATTCCAAGAGGAACTTTGAGAGGAATTCCAAGAGGAATTATTCCAAGAGGAACTTTAAGAGGAATTCCAAGAGGACAAGCGGTATAACATTTGATTTAAACAGTGGTGGACTTGTGCCAGTGTGCGACGGTGTGGCCATGCCCGGCACGTCCCACAACATCAACCGCGTATTGGGCCCCATAGCGTAGAGCGAAGCCTCCGCCTCTTTATCCGCTCCATGTCCCTGGCCCTCTCCCTTCCCTGCATGTTGCTGTGAAGAAGGGACATCCCCCCCCCCCCTCCTGCCCTCCGCTCCCCGCCACCCATGAACGTCACCTATTGCATACATATACACACTCTTCCTTTTGAAGTCCACGGTGTTTGTCGCCGAATCCTTCGAGTGATGGGTTCCCACGTTGCGGCAAATTACTCTAAACGCGAGTTTCAAGCGGACTCGGAGAGACTCACGTAGACCACAGAGACGTGGGGGGGGGGGGGGAGGGCACTAAGACGCCGAATCGGCGGTGCTGCGTGTGTGTGTGCGTGCGTGTGTGTATGTGACTGAGTGGGGAGCGGTGGTGTAGCGGTTAGCGCGCTGCTCTATGAACCCGGCGACCCGAGTTCAATTCCCGCTCACTGCCAACACCAGTGACGATGATCTGAATCGGTCCTGGGCCTCCCCTAGATCGACTCGGCCTCAAATGAGTACCTGTTGCGGTGTGTAAACATCGCCAATGGGGAGACAAAGGCGGTCGGGCGTGGTGCTGGCCACCCACTCCCTCGTGTACCGTTCCGGCCTTCATAGGTGCTCGCTAACCGCACTTGCCCCTACAGTCTGTTACAGGCTATAGGAGGGAACTTTGACTTTGTCTTATGTGTGCGCGTGTGCGTGCATGTGCGTGCATGTGCGTGCGTGTGTGTGCGTGTGTGCGTGTGTGCGTGCGTGTGTGTGCGTGCGTGTGTGTGTGCGTGTGTTGTGTGCGTGTATTGTGTGCGTGTGTGCGTGCGTGCGTGTGTGCGTCCGTGCGTGCATGCGTGTGCGTGCGTGTGTGTGTGTGTGCGTGAATGCGTGTGTGTGTGCGTGCGTGTGCGTGCGTGTGTGTGTGCGTGCGTGTGTGTGTGCGTGTGTGTGTGTGTACTTGTGTTGTGTGTGTGTACGTGTGTGTGTGTGTACGTGTGTGTGTGTGCGTGTGTGCGTGTGTGTGTGCGTGCGTGTGTGTGTGCGTGTGTTGTGTGCGTGTGTTGTGTGCGTGTGTGCGTGCGTGCGTGTGTGCGTCCGTGCGTGCATGCGTGTGCGTGCGTGTGTGTGTGTGTGCGTGAATGCGTGTGTGTGTGCGTGCGTGTGCGTGCGTGTGTGTGTGCGTGCGTGTGTGTGTGCGTGTGTGTGTGTTGTGTGTGCGTGTGTGTGTGTGTACTTGTGTTGTGTGTGTGTACGTGTGTGTGTGTGCGCATGTGTGTGCGTGCGTGTGTGCGTGTGTGTGCGTTGTGTGTGCGTGTGTGTGCGTGTGTGTACTTGTGTGCGTGTGTGTGTGTGCGTGTGTGTGTGTGCATGTGTGTGTGCGTGTGTGTGTGCATGTGTGTGCGTGTGCGTGCGTGTGTGCATGTGTGTGCGTGTGTGTGTGTACTTGTGTGCGTGTGTGTGTGCGTGTGTGTGTGCGTGCGTGTGTTGTATGCGTGTGCGTGTGTGTGTTGTGTGTGCGTGTTTGTGTTGTGTGTGTGCATGCGTGTGTGTGCATGTGTGCGTGCTCTCGCATGTTGCCATCCGCAGGGCCGCAGACCCCCCCGCGCGACGAGGTGGAGATCCCCCTGACGCCGCTCAAGAGCGACGGCGCCGCTACGGCTCCGGCGGGCGCGGCGCTCGGCTACTCGAAATCTTCCTCCTCCTCGTCCTCGTCCTCATCCTCCTCCTCCTCCTCCTCGTCGTCCTCGTCGTTGTCGTCGTCGGCGCAGGCGACGGCGCTGCCGCCGTCGTCGTCGTCGTTCTCCGCGATGACGGCGGCGACGATGGCGACGATGACGGCGATGATGGCGAGCACCATCGAGGAGGGCGAGGAGAGCGCCGAGCAGGAGTTGGACGACGTCTCCGAGCTGCCCGGCGGGCGGTGCGACGGCCGCGGCTCCCCGGGCCCCCAGCGGATGTCCGTCAGCTCGGACCACGACGTGCGGCCGGGCGACGAGGCCCCGGCGCAGCAGCCGTCGTCGGCGAGCGAAGCTGCTGCGGTGACGACGGCGGCTGCGGCAAGGAGGAGGAGCCGCCTGCGTCTGCTGTCCGACCTGGAGGTGACGCGCTGCTCCCTGCCGATGAGGGCGAGCCTGTCGAGCGACGTCGGGGCCTCCGATTCGGGAACCGCGGGAGCGAGCGTCGGCCACGCGAGAAAACGCGGCGACGGCGGCGGCGGCAATGAAGGCGGCGGCAATGAAGGCGGCGGCGGCGGCGACGGCGGCGACGACGGCGGCTACGGCGGCTGCGACGACGGCGACGACGGCGTCGTCGACGACGACGACGACGACGACGTTCTGTTCTTCCCGCCGTCGGCCGTGCAGCGCGTGTCGATCGACAGCGAGGGCCCACGCTCGTACCACGCCGTCAAGTACACCCTGGTCGTGGACGAGGGCACCCAGCTGGAGCTCGTCGGTGGGGAGTTCCGACGCAGCGAGTCGTGCCCCAGCGACGACGATGGCGACGACGAGGTGGGCGGCGACGACGAGGACCGCGCGACCTGCGGGAAGGGCGACGACCGCAGCATCGGGTCGCTGACCCTGTACGACAACCTGAGGTCGCCCTTCGAGCCCGACTCGGCGTTCGACCCCGACTCGATGTTCGACCCCGACTCGGCCTTCGACCCGGTCGACCTGGACACGACCTTCGACAACGAGGCGGAGCCCGCCTTCGGTCGCCACCTCGACCTCGACCCCGACCTGGAGCTCGAGCTGGACCTCGACCCCGAGGGCCCGCCCTTCGACCCGGCCGTGGGCGAGGAGTACGAGGAGGTGACGCGCGACTCCCTCTGCCTGTCGAGCCACGCCACTCCGGAGCCCGTCGGGGAGGTGGTGACCTTCACGCGCAAGTTCCTCAACGTGGTTCTGAGCGGCACGGCGCGCTCTTGCAGTGAGTCGTTTTTCATCCTTCCGACGGCGTGTATAACGGTTAAGAGATGAACATGTAATAAATTAAAAATAAATATCTTGGATGGAAAAACACAAGACCGGTACAACGTGCCGATGGTTCCTGGGTAGAGGGGACAGAACAACCGTTGTGGGGGGGGGGGGGGGGGGGGGGACAGGGGAGAGGACTTTGGGCGCTTTAGAATAATCCGATCGTGGGGGGTGTTACGGTTCGATGCCCTGACCTGTGGGAGTCTTCATAAGGAGGCGGTGGGGTGGAGAGAAAGGGAGTGGGGAGCAGGATAGGTATGTTTACGTATATTCCATGAATTTTAATCAAAGCCGCGTTGAGAGTGGAGCGGCTGCTATTTTTTCGCGGCGTTCAAAGATGGACAGAATCGGAACAGGAGTCTTTATTTATCCTGGAGAAATTTGACGAGCTGTGAAGCTCTTTTTCACACATGTCCAGTCGGGGGCACGGGGTCAGAAGGTTACAACGACGATGCACTGTGGGATTTATCTTAGAACACGCAGAATTATAATTATTCGACGATCTCACGTTCATCACGGCTACACACTTGGGGTGCAAATGATAGGAACTTACTGTAGCAATCCATTGAAATTGGACATCATGGCGTAGCTCCTGGATGGAAAGTTCAAAGACAAGCCACAGTCGTGCGAGTGTGGCCATCCAACCCAAGCTATGAGCCGCACAGTAAAACCACTGTGGCCTGCACTCCTTCAGTGGTGGAGAAGGAACAGAAAAACGACACCGACTCTCAATCTCCCGAAGCCCCTCTTGGTCGTCGCCAGCAAGCCTCGGCATTTGGCATGCAGCTCCTGAACGTGTTTGCCACACGCAAGTTTAGAGCGCACCGGACTTCAAACCGTTGTGTTTCAGCGGCAAATGTGTTCTTGATATCGGCGTTTTGTATTTTTTTTCTCAGGGTCATTTGGATTCTTCTCGTGTACCATCGATGGAATTTGGAGAGAACAAACCCACAGAGCCGTGCACAAGTGAGCATGTTTGATGCGTCTTCTTACTGAAATACCGACATCGCGTGGAACTTGCAAAACCCCATCGGCGCCGATGCCGGTGGTTGCCATTCCACCGACCCCTATGGAACTGGAGGCCACAATCGCCGTTGAAGTTCCCGCAAAGTCGTAACCCATTTCATTGATCCCCCCGGAGTGAACGACTGTGATAAAGAGTCCTCGTGTGCGCGCGCTCCGTGGCAGGTTCCAGCCCAGGCATGTGGACGAGCTGGAGCTAGATTCGGACGACCCCGTGTTTGTTGAGGTGCGATCGGCCGATGGCTGGCTGACGGGGTACAACATGCGCACGGGCGAGCGCGGCATCTTCCCCTCGCTCTACACGCAGAGGGTGCACAAGGAGCCGGAGCTACTGCGTAAGACATTCCCAGCGGGCAATTTTCTTTTTTTATAGACTCAACACTGCACATAGACTCAACACTCACCATAGACTCAACACTCCCCATAGACTCAACACTGCACATACACTCAACACTGCCCATAGACTCACACCACCCATAGACTCACCACTGCCCATAGACTCAACACTGCACCATAGACTCACCACTGCCCATAGACTCAACACTGCCCATAGACTCAACACTGCCTATAGACTCAACACTATCCATAGACTCAACACTGCCCATAGTCTCAACACTGTCTATAGACTCAACACTCCTCATAGACTCAACACTGCCCATAGACTCAACACTGCCCATAGACTCACACCACCCATAGACTCAACACTGCCCGTAGACTCAACACTGCACCACAGACTCAACACTGCCCATAGACTCAACACTGCCTATAGACTCAACACTATCCATAGACTCAACACTGACCATAGTCTCAACACTGTCTATAGACTCAACACTCCTCATAGACTCAACACTGCCCATAGACTCAACACTGCACCACAGACTCAACACTGCCCATAGACTCAACACTGCCCATTGACTCAACACTGCCCATAGACTCACACCACCCATAGACTCAACACTGCCCATAGACTCAACACTGCCCATAGACTCAACACTGCCCATAGACTCACACCACCCATAGACTCAACACTGCCCGTAGACTCAACACTCCCCATAGACTCAACACTCCCCATAGACTCAGCACTGCCCATAGATTCAACATTGCCCATACACTCAACACTGCCCATAGACTCAACACTGCCCATAGACTCAACACTGCCCATAGACTTAACACTGATCATAGACTCAACACTCCCCATACACTCAACACTGTCCATAGACTCAACACTGTCCATAGACTCAACACTCCCCATAGACTCAACACTGCACCATAGACTCAACACTGCACCATAGACTTACACCACCCATAGACTCAACACTGTCCATAGACTCAACACTGCACCACAGACTCAACACTGCCCATAGACTCAACACTGCCCATTGACTCAACACTGCCCACAGACTCACACCACCCATAGACTCAACACTGCCCATAGACTCAACACTGCCCATAGACTCAACACTGCCCATAGACTCACACCACCCATAGACTCAACACTGCCCGTAGACTCAACACTCCCCATAGACTCAACACTCCCCATAGACTCAGCACTGCCCATAGATTCAACATTGCCCATACACTCAACACTGCCCATAGACTCAACACTGCCCATAGACTCAACACTGCCCATAGACTTAACACTGATCATAGACTCAACACTCCCCATACACTCAACACTGTCCATAGACTCAACACTGTCTATAGACTCAACACTCCCCATAGACTCAACACTGCACCATAGACTCAACACTGCACCATAGACTCAACACTGCACCATAGACTCACCCCACCCATAGACTCAACACTGTCCATAGACTCAACACTGTCCATAGACTCAACACCACCCTTAGACTCAACACTGCACCATAGACTCAACACTGCACTATAGACTCAACACTGCCCATAGACTCAACACTGCACCATAGACTCAACACTGCACCATAGACTCACACCACCCATAGACTCAACACTGTCCATAGACTCAACCCTGTCCATAGACTCAACACCACCCTTAGACTCAACACTGCACCATAGACTCAACACTGCACCATAGACTCGAACACTGCCCATAGACTCAACACTGCCCCTGTACATGAAGTAGTTCCCCTCCTTCACCTCCTTCCTTTCCTCTCTTAAAGCCTCACCTCTTCTCCGTCTCCCATTCCCTTCCTCTTCCCTCGCCCTCTCCACTCCGTCCCCGTCCCTCCGCTGCCCTTTCGTGATCCCCAAGGTCCCCCCTAGCGCTGTCACCCGTTCCTCGGCCCTTGAAGCACGCCCCTGCCATGCAAATTGTTTTAACGATGCAAACGTATGTTACTGAGCCGTGTGTGTGTGTGTAATTGAGCCATGTGTGTGTGTGTTATTGAGCCGTGTGTGTGTGTAGAATTGAGCCGTGTGTGTGTGTGTAGATTGAGCCGTGTGTCTGTGTGTAGAATTGAGCCGTGTGTGTGTGTAATTGAGCCGTGTGTGTGTGTAATTGAGCCATGTGTGTGTGTGTGTAATTGAGCCGTTTGTGTGTGTGTAAATGAGCCGTGTGTGTGTAATTGAGCCGTTTGTGTGTGTAAATGAGCCATGCGTGTGTGTGTGTAATTGAGCCGTGTTTGTATGTGGCCTGCCAGCTCATAAGAAGCGGAGGGATTGGTTTGAGATCTTTGACCTCCAATTCCTGGGCTCGGTGGAGGTTCCTCATCACCAGGGCAACGACGTCCTCTATGCAGCCATGCAGAAGGTGAATGTTCGTCATCGTTGGTATTTCCGTTGTCGTCATTGGCATTATCGATATGTTTCTCACACTCTTATGTAAACCTGATCTCAAAACGAATTGATTTGCATATTTGGTTGTAGATGTAGCGGTTGTATTCGCCATGGATACACGCCGTCTGCTTTACGGTGAACGTTGAAGATCACGTGACATCATTTGTACCGAGTAGGCCAGCGTGGGCTGGCGTCTCGGTAACAAATTCGCCAAATTCAATGAATACCCTCGCAAAGTTACTCAATGTGGATTACGCGCCGCATAATGGCTCCCTGCTGGCAGAATAACTCCCACTTGCAGCCCAGGTGCCGAGTCACGTTTGTTGCCGCACAGGGGCAGCTGCCACTGGGGATGCCCACCGGATTGTCGGAGACGAGATGCGATGTCAGGCGCCTTGGGTTGCCGAAGCATTGGAGTGTCAATAAAATCATGAGAAAAGTATTGTCATTATGTAGACTGTAAAGCACTATTTTTTGCTACCTTTCATCATCAAGGGAGATTGGCAACATCATTCTTGTCTATAGTGTCTGCTGCCTCACTCCAATTCTCGCCGCAGTGGTGAGATGTTAACTCCCTCGCCCAATGTGCAGGAGGACGTGGCTTCAATCCCGACCCTGATGCCTGCTGCTGTATATAAATCCCTGTGGTCGGGTGGATTTTTCTCCGGGTCCTCCAGTTTTTCCATCCACATTTATCATCGACACGCGTTCAGAGTACTTGCCTGCTCTACATTTCCACGTGACAATCCACTTCCGTTGACCTATCATTTGTGATAGCCAGGTCCCTTCTGAAAACGAGCTACCATTCAGCTCAGTGGGCCTTACCCGGTAAAATAAAAAAAAATAGTTTCGAACAAAACTGCCCATCGTTGACGTTCCAAACACCCACCGTATGGCATGCCGGTTGCTACCAACGTCGTACCTTGCGGCCTCTCGTTTTGGACCTCTCTCTGACGACCGCCAGGTGGCTTCCAGCCGTCGCGCGGTTGCCGGACTCAAGCCGACGTTGCCGTGCTCGTTGGAGGTGGGCGCGCGAGGGCTCCGCCTCACGGTGACCGGCGCTCGGCATGCGCCGGCGCCGCAGCGCAACGGCTTCCACAAACACAAGCCGGTAAAAGCGGTGCCCGGCGGCCCTTCACCTCGACGCGGCGCCCAGCGTGGCCAAGTAGCGGCTCAATTTCATCGCTCACGGCAAACCGCAGGGAGGCTGTCTCGGTGTGGCGATCGTCGTCATCGAACACGGACGGTCACCGCCACGGTGGCTAGGAGATGTTAACCACCTCGCCCGGTATACAGGAGGTCGTGGGTTCGATCCCGACCCTGACGCCTGCTGCTGTATATTTGGTGTTTGCGTGTCTCTCTCTCTCTTTCGGTGGTCGCGTGGATTTTTCTCTGGGTCCTCCGGTTTCTCCCACCACATTGAGAATCGACGTGGCTGCTGGTTATAAATTTCCACGCGATAAGCCGCTGCGTTGGGCTATCATTTGTGGCCAGGTCACTTCTGAGAAAGAGCTATATAGCTCAGTGGGGCCTTACCTCGTAAAATAAAAACCCACAACATTTACAATCCGAGTACAACGTTTCGCTGGTAATTGTAAGCAGCTTCATCAGGCGACTCGCCATCACACCAATGTGCTGAAGCAATAGCCAGTTGGCACGTTTTGTTCACATGGCAAAATTAATTGTGTCGGGTGTGGTGGTGGGTTAGCGACACATTTATACTCACGTGATCTAACCCCAAAAAAACATTTAGTATGAACAGGACTTCGAAGGGATGCCGCGGTGGCGATAAGTTAACTCCCATGCCTGGTATGCAGGGGGTCGTGGGTTCGATTCCGACCCTGATGCCTGCTGTATATTTGGAGTTTGCATGTCTCTCCCCGCGGTCGTGTGGACTTTTCTCCGGGTCCTCCGGTTATTCCCTCCACATTTGGAATCGACGTACGTTGAGAGCATAACGAATTAATAGCGGTCGCAAAAGCCTTTGACGCGTTAAATAGGCCGTGTTCGTTCATTCGTTCGCCGCGTGACGACTTCATTCGCCGGCCGTGTCGGGGTGGAGGAGGGGCGCACGACGCGACGTTTCATACTCGCGCGGCGATCCGACCCCAAACAAGGAAATCGAGTACGAATCGCAGCCGCCGCCGCTGCCGCCGTTATTGTTGTTGTTGTTGTTTTGCTTGCATGCGATAGACTCGGGCGGCATGCGTGTCCCTTGCAGATCAAGAACTTCAGCCACTTTTTCCAGCTGAAGAATATTTCCTTCTGTGGTTTCCACCCCAAAAACCCATGGTAAGCAGGTGTACGTGCGCACATGCATAGCCCTGGAACAATTACAGGACAGTATCTAGATTGTGATAGAGGGCGTTCTCATGGTCTTAGGGATCTCAACGGCCAACGCCGGTGATGATTATTTGAACCGTTCCTGGGCATCCCCTACGTCGACTCAGCCTCAAATGAGTACCAATGTGTAAACATGGCCACTTGGGAGACAAAGGCGACCGGGCGTGATGCTGGCCACCCACCCACCTCGTGTGCTGTGCCAGCCCTCACAGGTGCTAATCTCGAACAGCACTTGCCCCAACAGTCTGTAAGGGCTATCGGGGGGGGGGGGGAGGGAATCTTTATCTTTTGTGTCGGCACTGCTGCTTGTCAGTTTCCAGGGAAACCACGTAGGGGGTGGGGGGGGGGGCGGCGAAATCCTTTCGGTTGGCGTTGGTTTTTCGTTGCGAAGCTGAATGCGGAACATTGGCACGAGACGATTGCGAAGTGCCACACATTTCAAGGATTGTCAAAGAATGCTACCGGTTGACACGCGATTGGTGAAATGAATCACGCGGTCGTATTTCGATTAATCGATGGGGACAAATGCGCGCAAAGGAATTGAACGTACCGCATGCTTTGTGTGCGCTCTTGGGCAGCTACTTTGGGTTCATCTGCAAGCACCCGGCGGAAGGCAGGTTCGCGTGCCACGTGCTCGTCTCCACTCAGTCCACCAAGCCCATCGCAGAGTGCTTCGGGTAAGAGCCATACGCACTCATCGGGGTTCGCTGAGCTGCAAAGGGTGAGACGTCGAGAGGCAAAGGATGAGTCCGGTTTGCGAGGGCGACCTGGGGCGGTTGTCAGCTCCGCGCAGCCTGGGCGGAGGTGGCTTCCAACGTGGCTCGCCTGGAATCCAGCAGCCCTGTGGAGGCAGCAGCGGCGGCGGCGGCGGCGGCGGCGGGGGTTGGTGATTCACACGTGGATGGCGTGAAACTCCCTTAGGCCCGCTGAGCCATGCAGCTGTTTTTCAGATGTGACCTGGCCACAAATGACAGCTCAACGGAGCGGCTTATCGCTTGGAAATGTAAAGCAGCCAAATGCTCGTAAACGCTCATTGATTCGGAACGTGGAGGGAAAAACCGGACGGCCCGGAGAAAAATCCACGCGACCACGGGTAGAACATGCAACTCAAAATAGAGAGGCGTCAGTCTTGGGATCGAGCCCACGACCTCCTGTATACTAGGCGAGTTAGTTAACATCTCGCCACCAAGAAGGCGGTACAGCAAACGTGTAGACATAATAGAGGTTTTTTTTTACGGTTTATATCGCGCAAATATAAATGTGTCGTTAAATCCGCCACCGCAGGAAATTCGTAAGGTTTGTCACGTAAACAGAACATGCCAATTAGTTACTAGTACAGCACACCGGTGTGTTGGAGAGTAAACCCACAGCATTTACAATTCGAGTAACGTGACGTTTCACCAGTAATTACAACCAGCATCATCAGGAGACAGCCAGAATCGTGGAGAAATCCTCCTGTTTCGGGCGGTGGCGGGTTTTTAACTACACATTGATATATACACGATCCAACCCAAAAAAAAAAAACCTCTATCATAGATAATATTGGTCACGAAAGCGACCACCTTTTCCATCCGTATGGGATAGAGTGTTTCCCCATCATGCTCGTAGGTTTTCTCCGGGTGCTCCGCTTTCCCCCCATACGTAAGCACTCGTTAATTGGGCAAAGCTTAGGCAATTGTTGGTAGCACCAGCTCATTGGCTGGCTGGCTGGCTGCTGCTGCTGCTGCCGCCTTCCCACGCATCTGTGATTCCTCCTGTGGGCGCCACGAATAAAAGCCATTGATGTTTTCCTTTCGTTTTGTTTTCGGTTCTTTGCTCAGTCCGCTTGTCCTGGCGAGGGTCACGGCGGATGCACGTTGAGCGGTGGCAGTCCAGACCTTCCTTTCCATGGCGACAGACTCCAGCACTACTACACTATATACACTACTGCACTATACTGCACTACTATACACTACTACACTATACACTACACTACTTTACACTACTACACTATACACTACACTATACACTACACTATACACTACACTATATACTACACTATACACTACTACACTATACACTACACTACTTTACACTACTACACTATACACTACACTACTATATACTACACTACTATACATTACTAGACAATACTACACTACACACTACACTACTTTACACTACTACACTATACACTACTATACACCACTACTATATATTACACTACTATACATTACTAGACACTACTACACTATACGCTACACAATACATTGCACTGCTATACACTACTACACTATACTATTATACAATACTACACACTACACTATACACTACACTACTACACACTACACTATACACTACTACACTACACTACTATATACTACACTACTATATATTACTATACACTACTACACTATATGCTACACAATACACTGCACTACTATACACTACTACACTATACTATTATACACTACTACACACTACACTATACACTACTATACACTACACTAGTATACACTACACTACTACACACTACACTATACACTACTACACTACTATACTGTACACTACACATTACTAAACTACACTACTATACAGTACACTATACACTGCTACACACTATACACTACACTATACACTACACTCTACACTACTATACACTACTACACTATACACTACAATATACACTACTATACAATACACTATACACTACACTATACACTACACTATTATACACTACACTACTACACTATACACTACTACACTATTATACACTACACTATACACTACACTATACACTACACTACTATACACTACACTACTATACACTACACTATACACTACGATACACAGACTCCAGCTCTTCCTGGGGAATTCTCAGGCGTTCCCAGGCCAGCTGAGCGACATTCGTCCCTGCCAGCGTGTCCTGGGGCCGGCCCCGGGCTCTTCACCATTGATATTAATGTCTTAATGTTATGTTTGATCAGAAAAAGAGAAGGAGATTGATTAAATTGCAGTAAATAAAAGCCGTTCAGCATTGTGTTGCTCCGTTAATAGTCATTTCAATGTATCAAGCGCCCTTAAACCACGTGCTTGTTTACAAACGTTGAAGACGCTTGTATTTATCATGGGACTATTTTGCCCGTAGCAAAGTATGAAAAGTAAGAATGGGTTAGTGTAGGCCAATCGGTTTCAAAGACAATGCATATACTATCAGAGTTTGTTTGCATGCTCACTGCAAATACTCTCTGTGCTTAATGCAAACGTGATTCCTTGCAAAAAGGAATCTATTTGGTGTCCGAACATCTTAACACCTCTCGTTTCATCGCCAGAAGGTGTGAAACCCTTATTGTTATTTTTCCATACGCTTGTATTTCCATGCAGCCCTTCAGTGTAAATCACTCTAAACGGCTCTCTGTAATATTGTTAAGAACTCCCAGAGGTGCAGCTGCCACGTGCTGTTAAATGTCAACGTGTCATCGTGTCTCTTTGCTCAGACGAGCCTTATGAATGTTAATGCCCCTTGACAAAATGAGGCGGTGCTATTTTGTTAAGGCGTCGGCCCATGCCTCAACATTTTAAAAAAAACGGAAAAATACCCACGGCGCATATTTCTGCGTAGTATTCAACAATTAAATGTTTTCTCTCCTTCATAAAAAAACAAAAAACCGTTCCAACGGTGGAATTGTTAATTGGGCGCGTCGTAAGCGAGAGAACAGGGCTTGCTTGGTGGTGGCTTTGCTGCACGTTGGCTGTCTGTGATCCGGCACTGTGGATGGATGGAGGCAGCAGCAGCGAGGTGGTGGGGGGGGGGGTTGGTGGATCGCCGCTGCACACAGAAGTTGTGAAACTCCCTTTGCCGCGGGCGTCGAGGACGAGCCCACACCCTGGCTCGCTAGGGGAGGGGAGATTTAAAAAAAAAAGACATGCGACTCCACTTGTTCCACGGGTACGGTATCGAGTGTTGCTCCCTCGCACGCGTGGGTTTTCCACCCGCGCAGATTACACCTCATTATACGGAGGGCCCCAGGCCTTTGGGGAGACATTTGGAGCCGGCTCACCCTGTGCCCGCCCCCCCCCTCCCCGCTCGTCTGTGTGGCTCCTCCTGGTGTCTCGCTCGCTCGCTCTCCATGCGAGCGAGCGAGCGTTGTGCGGCTGTGGCGGCACAGTGTTGCACGTTGAAATTGTTCATCGCTTGTATCGTCAAAGACTTAATTGTGTGCTTGTCTTTGCTTTGTGTTGCAGGAAAGCTTTTCAGCAGTTTTACCACGACTGTATGGATTACAACTGCCCGGTTGAAGATATTTTTCTGGAATGAAGCTACGTAGCGGTGTACTACCTGTGTGCAGTGCACTTATATCACCAGTGCACGAATTTTCTCCTAAGTAAGCCCAATTCGTGTATGCATTCATGTATTCATACGTGAAATTTAAGTTATTTATGCGAGGTATGTACGGCAATCGTGGCACGTGTTTACCGGTCAAAGCGGCAAAGAAGGTGTTATTGTGCATCGACAGATCATTTTATTTTACAATCAGGGAATATCGAGGAGCTCACTATACTAGCGTGTGGATATCTGCACACACCACCACATGTGCAGCCATATCAGAATACCTTTTTGGTGAATTTGATATTTGATTTTTTTTTACAGTGGGACATATCACATCAAATCTGTACACGCCTGTGTGTGGAACTCCTCAGCTTGGTGGGGTGACCAATGACCTTTGACTCTTCACAGGGCAGGATTTGAGGAGCAATTTGCAGTGCATGAACACGTGGTACCGGCATGCAAGGGGAGGGGGAATTAAATAATTTTACAGGGGACCGACCGGCGGAAGAGGGTGGGGGAAGAGGGGGGGGAGTGGGTGAGGCAAAGGGGGAAGTGGGTGGGGCAAGGGGAGAAAGTGGGTGGGGCAAGGGGAGGAAGTGGATGAGGCAAGGGGGGAAAGTGGGTGGGGCAAGGGGAGGAAGTGGGTGGGGTAAGGGAGGAAGTGGATGGGGCAAGGGGGGAAGTGGGTGGGGCAAGGGGAGGAAGTGGATGAGGCAAGGGGGGAAGTGGGTGGGGCAAGGGGAGGAAGTGGGTGGGGTGAGGGAGGAAGTGGATGGGGCAAGGGGGGAAGTGGGTGGGGGCAAGGGGAGGAAGTGGGTGGGGTAAGGGAGGAAGTGGGTGGGGCAAGGGGAGGAAGTGGGTGGGGTAAGGGAGGAAGTGGGTGGGGTAAGGGAGGAAGTGGATGAGGCAAGGGGGGAAGTGGGTGGGGCTAGGGGAGGAAGTGGGTGGGGCAAATGGGGGGGGGGAGTCAGTATGGCAAGGGTTCTGGGAAGTGGGTGGGGAAAGAGGAGGAAGTGGGTGGGGCAAGGGGGGAAGTGAGCAGGGCAAGAGGCATAATTGGACTGGGGCAGGAGGGACAGAGAGTGATGGTGGAAACACAAGTGATCTGAAGAGACTAGGCACAGGGAATAAGGGCACAGAGTAAGAGAATCAACAGAGCATCTAACCCAGCTAACAGATTGCTGTGACATGCTGCCCAGTGAGATTACAGCTGAACTTATAAACTCTCCAGTCCTTGAAAGCTTCAGGAATCTACAGCGCCTGTAATCCAGCACTGTCAGGGAGAGGGTTTGTGAATCGTGCAAACGTCGTGAAACTCCCTTCCTGTGGGCGTCAAAGTGCCATATTCTGACTCGCCATCAGAAGGCAGTACAGCAAGTGGATTTAATCGCCATCTATTATCATCTGTATGGGGATCGAGTATGACCCCGTCGCACAAGGCGTGGCTTTTCTCTGGGTGCTCCGGTTTCTTCCACACTTGCATAATAATGATGATAAACACAACTCGTCAATAATTGGCTGAAAACCATCTTTAAAAAAAAAACTCAATGCAACAGCAGGAGCTTACTGCAAAAGAGTCTCTGTGACTCAGTCGCACCTCCGATTAACACAGTTGGCTACGTGTGGTGCGAAAGAAGTTCAACATACATACATAGAAATATATATATACCTTAACACGCATGCTGATGAATTTAGCAAGAGTTATAGAAACTATATGCGCGTCTATGGAACAAACAGCACACTGGTGAAGCGGCAGCTACACGCGTATGTGTGCACTGTGACGGCACTGATGCTACTGTGACGTCACAGTATTGGCACCGATGTCACAATGACGTCGCTGTGACGTCACTGCTGGGCCACGGAGCGCACGCGTGCGGCAGCCGCGCACATTTCACGGCAGGCGGTGGCATTTTGAACGCCGCCACTCGTCAGAATCATAATCTTTTATACTGGAGGAATCCGATGAGCTATGAGGCTCTTTTTCACAGATGTGCGGTACACTTCCCGTGACGTCGCAACACCGGGTAGAGAGGTTTTTTTTTTTAATACCTGGGTTTTGAAATTCTGTCGGCTGTCGGGGTGACGATCCTCTCGCCAATCCGCCCTCCTCGATCCCACCAGCTCTTCATCCCGAACTGTGTGTTGTCACATTCTATTGCGAAATGTCTTCAGTGTTTTTTTGTTATTCTTAGTTTTTTCGGTAAAGTCACGTTGAAGGGAAACAACAAAATAATAAAAATATATATAAAAAAACAATAAAAAAAAATTCTCACGACGTTTCGACCATAATTCAAACGGTCGAAACGTCGTGAGAATTTTTTTATTGTTTATATATATTTTATTATTTTGTTGTTTCCCTTCAACGTGACTTTACCGAAAAAACTAAGAATATGAATTACTGCAGTCACGAAAGCTTTAAATCAAAATTTGTTTTTTTGTTGTTTATTTATTACAATATCCAGCATAGGAGGCGTCGAACGAAGCTCGGTTTGATTTTCTTTCTTTGCCAAAGCCTTCGTCTTTAACTCGGAACAGTTATTACAGTTTCTGCACAAAGCACAAATTCGGCCGAAGTTGGGAATCTTGCTGCTTTAGTTTGTTGTCCTTCCCCCGCACGTCCGACCAGCACGGTTGGCTACGTGCGGTGTGAGAGAAGCTCAACGTCAGACATCAGTACATACGTACATGCTCTCCATGTCTGCGGTGGAGCACTTAGTTCCTACCTCGCTGCTGAACCGGATAGAATTCAACTCAAGAGAAAGCGGTCGGTCGCGGGTGATTGATGATCCAGCACTGACCGACCCACCCCAGGGGAGTCACTCGCTCCGTGGTGGTCGGTCACCTCCCTATCGCTCTTCTATCACGACCGTGATGCTTCGCTCGTACCATTTCTCCACCCACGTTGATTCACCGCTCTGTCTCATCCGCAACAACACTTCCCTGCTTCTTCCCTTGTGCCCGCTGCACTCTGGGACTCGGCCCCATCATCCCTCACTGGGGGGGGGGGGGGGCGGTCGATAAAATAAACACCGCTTTTTTTGCGAGAAAGTCAACGGTGGCTAAAAACCTACGGAGAAACTCATGCCCCCGCCATCGGAATGGGGAATTTCCAACAGCGGCTCGTGGCTGAACAAAAAAAAAAGCTGGAGAGAGGAGCACCAATTCGTCAACGGTCATTTCATCCGAAAATCACTTTTAACCTTGACGTTGATGTTCACCCATTAAACACGGAACGTTGGGGCCAACGTTTAGAAACCGACATTGTCCCAACGGTGTACGTTTTACTTGACAGGTACGAATTGTTCTCTGGAGTGCAGTACTTGCCACAGAATTGTGTTAACACGACACGCACAATCATTGCCGTCCAATTAAAAGCCACCTTTTTAGCGCCGTTATTTCGCTATCCGTTTGGCCGCGTCACATTGGGGTTTGCGTTTCGCTCGATTTGCGATGCCTCTCCGGCGGTCGACGTTCTGACGCAGCAGGAGGGTTTGTTTTCAGGGTGGCCCCGAGTGGAGACACGACCCGGGGGCGCGTGCCAATCATGGCCCCCGCAGCAGCTCCGAACAAGGCAGGAGGGCGGGTCGCGCTCACCGCTTCCCGTTTCCCAAAAAACGAAAAATCACAGAATTACCTGCGCACTGGGAATCTGTGTCTATCCCCCCCACCCCCCCCCCCCCCCCCCGCTTTGTCGTGTCCCTCACCGAAAATGTACAAAAATAATAGAGGTATTTACCCGCTCTAACCCAAAAAAAACCTCTTTTGGATAATATTTGTCGCGAGAGGGCTACTACTTCGTGCGATCTTGCAAAAGGGGGTGTGCGTCGCCCTCTTGCTGTCTTGTGCACGCATCGAGGCTACATCGTCGTCGTCATCAATCGCGCAACCGCTCAACATACTTTAAGATATTGTGTAAATTTGGCGACCACCGATAAATTAATTGACGGTGCTGCTGCGGCTGCGTTGGCAGTGGTGCGCAAAGCACAAGCAACAATGGCACAACAACAAAAACTCAACACATTTGTCAATAACACTACCTTGAACGGAAACAACATTAAGGCCTAAAGCTAAGGCCCACTGAGCTATACACCTTTTTTTCAGAAGCGACCTGGCCTCAAAGAAAGTGGCTTATCGTGTGGACATTTATAGCAGCCAAGTGCTCTAAGCGCGTGTTTCTAAATGTGGAGGGAAAAACTGGAGGACCCCGAGAAAGATCCACGTGACCACGGGGAGAGAGACACTGCAAACTCCAAATATACAGCAGGCGTCAGGGTTAGGATCGAAACCACAACCTCCTGTACACCAGGCGAGGTAGTTAACATCTCACCACCGTGGCGCGCCCTTGGGTTCCGTGTGTCTGTTAAATTCTCGAGCATCAAACGCTGACACCTGTAGAGCTCGGCTAAATTACACGTTCCTCGATAACACCGTGGCCTAGAAAAGAAAACATACAACTAGGGCGACGTTTGGGGCAATGGTCCTTTTGCATAGCAAATAAATCCTGCAAATCATTGGGCTCCCCCAGAATGCAGTGCTGTGCCCACATTTGGGAGTAATGTGCCGGTCAGCACTAAAACAAATCGTGCGTAACAAAAAATAAACAATTGCTTGCTTTTCAACGTTCCAGTTTTGCTAATGAACCAAATAAACTACCAAATTTTTCCCACGTGACAACATTAATTGATTGGCTTCTGTCCGTCGGGTGGTGCAGGGTTATTAGTTGAAAATTGGCATTCTACACAACACAGTGGTCGGAACCCAAAAGGAACGAGAGTAATTATGCGATCCACATGCTGGCAGAGTGGGACATATTTAAACCTGGCCTATCGCCCCCAGTTTTTGGAAAACTCCGGGAGAAGAAATGTCAGTAGGGACGTGAAACGGGCCTAAGCCTAACCCTCGGGATATCGGAATGATTCACATGCGGCTCATATCTCTGCCAGTGCAGGCTGATAGATAAACCGTCGTATGCATGGCAAGGGCCCATGTCTACTGCCGCGGAAAGTTGACATCTTCCCGAGTTTAAAATCGGCAGATATGTGAAAACGTTTCTAC